TCGACGTTTGCAAGCTCACCGGAATGGCATAAATTTGCGGTCCGTGCCAATCGTTGGTCACACCTTCTGCTCCGGATTTATTGGCAGGCTGATGATGATTATGAACATTAGCTGGACGCATCACGCCGATGTGTCCAGCACTAGCCTGCCTGTGAAATCGACGCTTTGTGCCAGGATGTTCGGGATGCACAAGAGGACTTTCGCCGCGTTCTTGTTCCATGCTTTCCATCAAACTGCCTGTTTCTCCACGTTCCCAGTGCGAATCTGAAAGAGAAGAAAAGATTGCATGACATACAGGTAACATCTATGCAAGGATTCCCCAACAATTCACACAGCTTTTCTTTTTTCCCCAATAAACTTTTGTTGTTTTAAATTAAGGTTCAGGCAAACATGATTACAGTACTTTCTTGTGTCTAAATTATCTTTTGTCCTAAATTAATTGCATGCATTTTAATATTCTAAATTTACAAAATGGGGCTTGAGAAAATAAAAAATGCCAACATAAATTTGTCCATGGAAATCTCTAATGGAGGAACATGATTCTGTTCATTCAAGATTGTCTTTGTGCAGGAAGAGGTAAAATTTAATGAGATAGGGCAAAATTATCTCACAGATGATTTCAGAGCCTGACGATTCAGGGTCGGTCATGTAAAATTCCTGAAACCAATCGAAAAATATTCATGCACACATTTGGACTCATAGCATTGGAATTTGGGCAAACGAAACACACTTCAGACAATTTCAAAATTATTCAAAAAATTTTGAAGATGTCGCACCTCCTTATAAATTTCTAGAGAACCATAACTAAAGTGAACAAATTTCACATGAATTGGCATGCAAAAACAAAATTCCAAACAAGTCAGGATACAAGATTTTTAGAAATTAGAGCCTGACAAATCACCTAAAGCCTTGGATAAGAAACAGTTCAGACAATTCAATTTACAGTATAACAAAAGACGAAGGATTGGGCCGCAAAAGAAGTCGAACATTTTATAAAGTGAAATCTCACTAAAATAACCTCGCGCAGACTTTCGAGAACCATTCGTGCGACTGAATATTTCCCGAGCAAAAGATTTGCGAAATCAATGACTATAAGAATTGCTTCGTATTCAGATCAGTACATATTCACGATCTTGATTTCCTTGAACTTTCAGATTCTTATTTAAATCACTGCAATGGATAAAAAATAGAGTTCCTTGTTTGACAAGGAAAATCCTCACTTCATTCTAAAATGCGTTCACATTAAAACTTCATAACTCATTCAAAAAGTCAGTCCTTCGCACAGTGAAGTAAAAATGAAAAAATAAAATAAAAGGCATTAATCCTTTCAGAGATGTTCCTAATTCCTGAATCCTGCGCAATTCCCAGAAAAAAGGACTTCATCGCCAAAAATAAAAAAGTACTGTACTCACGGACTCGATGCACTTTGCGGAAATGCAAGTACCCAGGAATGGAAGGTCGTCGAGGAATCATGTCAAATTCATCGTAGATCTCCATTTGCAACATTTCCTCAATAACGTCTTCCAGAGTGACAATCCCAACGACCTCGAATAAGAAAAAAAAACATTCATCTCATAAAAATATACAAACCTTCCTTTGTCAAATTTACACGCGCAGAAAAATATAAATATTTCCAGAAGAGTTTCAGCCCCAAAATGAAGGAGGTAAAATATGTGACATAAAAGCTCAAGTCCTAACAAAGCAAACAAATTTTAAATTCTCCATATTGTCAATTGAAAATCCCAAAGAGATGCTAAAAACGCGTATTACAGGCTTTATGAATATCATTTTTCAAAAAAGAGAACATTTGTTCGGATAATTGCCCTAAACCTTTTTTCATTTTTTTCCACAGCCTCACCTTTTTTTCTAAAACTCAAAATTGGGCATGATAAATCAGAAATTGATCATATTTTAAAATTATTCTTTTCTCTCTCTATTGTTCATTGAAAATCGCACAGGGATGCTACAAAGGCGAATATTCATGAATCTCATTCCCGAAACAAACAAACACGTAATTGCCTGAACTTTCCCCCTTTCTTTCGAGAGCCTCGCCTTATTTTTTAACTCGGATTGCACGAGAATTTTTATTCATAAATTTGGAGAGCAACGAAATTTCTGAGGATCAAGTTAAGATCAGCACTTATGGAATCACTGACTTCTCCACTGCCGTCGTTTTTCTGCACGATGGAAAGATGACCAGCTCTGGCTGCCTTGAAGTCGTTGAGTACGTCACTCAATGGCCTGTCCACTTGCACGAATGCCGGATTCACAGCGTGGAAGTCCGCTCTCCTCAAAAGATTCCTGAAAAGCAATTATAAAACGTTTTTCCAGTTTTATTGACTAAGTCCAGACGGTTCTGTAAGACTTCAGCTCCATGAAATGATATTTTGTTTCTATGTCCAACTCAATACAGTAAAATCTCGTTACAACAAACTTTTGGGGACTGCAGAAAAAGTTTGTTGTAATGGATAATTTGTTGTAACAAGATTTTCAATATTAATGACTGGAAAAACATTTTTCAGCTCAGATCTGCATACAGTGGTACCCCACACTACAAGCTTTTTTTTGTGCAAAAATCCACCATCTTAACCCTGCAGAATGAACAAATTTCACATTATGCATGATTTTTGATAAAAAATTTGAAAAATTCAAAAATTTTGGAAAATTTCTATTATTGCTATGAAAAAGTGAAAAAAATTACAAAAATCATATACAATATTAATATTTGATGGGGAAGAAAAGAATGTTATTTAACACNACATTATGCATGATTTTTGATAAAAAATTTGAAAAATTCAAAAATTTTGGAAAATTTCTATTATTGCTATGAAAAAGTGAAAAAAATTACAAAAATCATATACAATATTAATATTTGATGGGGAAGAAAAGAATGTTATTTAACACAAAATTATTTTGAAATCAGCAATCCCAAAAATGCATTAAAAAAATCCAGCTGAATCCTGTGCCTCTGTCTGAGGACTATTTTCTTCATCAGATTGAAATTTAATAAAACAGTGCATCTAAGGGGATTCTGCTAAAAAAAAGAACAGTTTTAAAATTAGGCTTTAATTTAAATTTCTAGAGAGAGTAGATTGCAGGTTTAAAAAATACAGTATTTGTTTCCAGTGACTTTTGCTCACAAAAATATCCTTGAAGATGGATTTTACTTCAAGCATAACCCTGAACTCCATTTGCAGAGAATTTTTGCTGTGAGAATAACTTCCTTAGATGAAATGTGAACAAAATTGTGGATTGATGATTTAAACCTGTGAATTTGTCTTTAAAGGTTTAAATCACAAATTCATGATTTGAACCTGTGAATTTGTGTTTAAAGGTTTAAAGCACAAATTCACTGGTTTACATCAATCCACAATTTTGTTTACATTTCATCTAAGGAAGTTAGGCTCACAGCAAAAATTCTCTGCAAATGGATTTTGCTTTGAGCATAACCCATGCAATTCAAATTTTAATTTTCAGGTTTGAACCACAAATCCACAGGTTGAAATCATCAATGCACACATTTTTCAACATTGCATCTAGGGAACTTATGGAATAAAGATGGAACTTCAATTTTGAAGACAATTTTCATCTCAATATTGTTTGGAAATTTGAATTGCAGGCTTTAAAAATTATTCTGAGGCAGTTAGGATCATAGCAAAAAATCTTTTCAAATGAGGGTTGCTTTGAGCATTATCTCTTAGATTTTAGGGTCATCTTTCATTATCCATCATGTGGACTCACAAAAAAATCCCATGAAATTTTGTAAAAATATATGGAAGAAAAATTGGCATGACTGCAGGGTTTCACAATGATTTCAAGCTGAAAAATTAATTATTTTTACTTGAATTTTGTAATTTTATGATTTTTCATTTTGTAGAAGAAAAATTGACACATTTTTGCACAAAGAACAGGTAAGGCAAATATCCTGGCAGATAATTTTAAATGATTTTTTTCACCCTGTACATACAGCGGATCATCATTACTGTAAAGACTCTCAGCAAAATAAGCAAGTGATGGAAAAAATGCTCAAAAGTGGAAAAACATACAATTTAAAATGACCATTAATTTGTGTGGCCACATTATGTGATCACTAATTTTCACCAGAAATGTTTTCACATAATTCTAACCATACCACAGCATCAATAACTGAAGAGTAAAAAACTTCACTGTTAAAAAAAAAAGGTGTTGCACAGACCCAGGATGGACTGGAAACTCTTAAACAATTAATGGTGCATGCATTTTAAAAATCTTTTTGGAGGGCACCTTCATTTTAATTCTTTGAACGATGAAGCTGAAGAACTGCTCCCAAACATGATGTTTGGTTGAATTCTGTGGACTTGTGGGTTCATTGTTTGGTTTGTTAGATTGCAAGAAATGCATCCTACAGAAGTCAGTTAGCAAGATTGCTATGAGCAGGTTTTTCTGTTTGATCATCATTTCTTTACATCCACTGGAAATGACAGCAATTCCATGAACCCCCAGGCATCCAAACAATTCTACACTTCTGGCAACTGACTTTTTGCTGGGTTCCTGGGAAGTTTTTTTCTTTTTTTTGACAGGCAGAAAAAGCCTCTCTCCTGGGTGGATCCCATCCAGATTTTTAAGCATTTATTCTCCTTCATCAAAGCCTCCATTTATTCAGGCTTTAATGATGAGTGAAAAAAAATTCCAAATTTTTTTTAGCAGTTTTCCACAAAAATGAAAAAGTTTCCTAAAAAAAGTTTGTTATAACGGAATTACCAAGTTTGTTATAACAAGATTTTTTTAACATGAGGTCTATAGGCTTTCTGCCAGGACTTGAAAAAAAGTTTGTTGCAATGAAAAATTTGTTGTAACGGTATTTGTTGTAACAAGATTTTACTGTATCCTTCAAAATTGCAGAGAATTTCACTAATGACTAGAGAATTTCTCACAGTTTGCTGCCAACATTAAAAACCAAGTACAGTAGTGCAATTGCAAACAAGAATTTTCAATCAAGAATACAGTATTTGGTAGAATTTGGACTACATAAAAATACATAAACAAATCGAGTCAAACAACCAATTCCTTAAAATGACATGGTTGTCATGAAAATCCTGTCCATCCTTCTTGCTAACAGACAATGCTTGAAGCAGTTTGCATATTTCCTACTTCCTCCTCCTCAATGAGAGTTAACGTCCGCAGTGTTAACTGAGGATCCTATAGGGGTCTGGGGGAACTTTAATGAGGGCGTTGTGTAACATGTGTCTGTGGCACCAACTTTTAGCAGGTTTTCCTTGGCAGGGAAAAAAAATTAGGGTGCAGTGAAACGGTAGCAGAGGTACCTGGTTCAATCCCACCCCTTGGCACATTTTTTTTTAGAAAATGTTTCCTATTTTGATTTGAACTTCCTCCAGACAAAAAAATTCCAAATTTGTAGAAAAGCATTGTGCATCCAAGAAAAATTTTAAAATTGAAATTGCTCCAAAAATATTATGAGTTGAACTTGAAAGTCCAAAAACTTTTTGTTTTCCAACCTTCTCAATATAAAAATTCACCATATGATTTCTGCTCAACAAAACTCTACCTTTTTTATAGGGTGGATGCACAATGAAGTTCTGCACATTTCCCCATTTCCAACTTTGAAAAATTCCAAAAATTGACTGAGATATAAAAAAATGCGGACCTTTTCCAAAAAATTGAGTGAAAAATGGGAAAAATTCATTTTTAGATCTCAATTTTTAACTGATCAAATTGAAAACCCCATGTCTATTTCACTCAGTATGTAATGATGATTTCAAATGTATGTTATGTACGTATGTATGTATGTATGTATGTATATTTTGCTACATTGGGGCACTAACATAGAAAAACAGTGCAATGTTATGTCTATAATGTGATACAGGTACAGCAATTCTTTTTTTCAAATATAATATATAAAAATTTGAATTCCCAAGTTCAATTAGGGTGCAATTAGTAGTAGAGCTTCCGCAGTGCAGACGCTCCACTACTAGATGACACCATGCACAAAGTCACACATCGTGCTGAGTTAACAGTCCTTGAAAGAAGGTCAGATCCAGGTCTGACCAGTCTTTCCCAATTCCTGACCTCAAGGTCTATGAAACTATCTGACTTTATATTTGCTTACCAACTGTTTAAAGAGAGAAGTTCATGCTTTTGTTCATTATGTAGAAAGCAGCACAAAAATTTACGATTCTTTTTCAAAAAAATATATCCAGGAGTACTCATTTAACACAACCTGGCAATAAGGATAGAAAATCTCATCAGATTAAGTTGTAAGACTTTGATTAACAAATATCATACAACAGTATAGTATTTGAATATAAAGATTTGGGAGAAGTCTGAAAATCTTTGTATTTTATCATCAACTAGTCAAAGTCTGATAGCCAAGTGTTCTTTCAACTTCTGACTTTTCGACATCAGAAAGCAAAAATTTGAACAAAAACAAGTAAATTGTACGAACAGTAAAATTAACCTCAATTGCAATTGATCCAACAAGACTAAAATAAGGGGAAACAAAATGCAGTAAAACACACGAAAATCGACTATAAAAAGTTTCAAGTTAGGAAAAAAGCGTTTGTGTAGGGGTGAGAAAGAATAATTACAAGAAAATTTAATTAGTGATGTTCTTGACATAAAATTGCTTCTTATACGAGTTGACAGGATGCAGAAGTTGGAGACATAATTCATTTGCACAATTAATCTTACAACTTGTTTCAAAGCAGCTCAGGTTACATATTTTATTGCCTTTATCTTTCCTGTGTCAAGAAAATAATAGATAAAAGGACTCCAGAAAATTCAACTTATGAAGATTTGAGAGGGGAAGCTTTTGAGCAAGGGAAGTTTTTCAGTTCATCATTTTTCAAATGATTTACACAGGGACTTGCAAAAAAATGACATAGGGAGGTATTTGATTTAGACATACAGTATTTGAGTTAGAGGTTCAACAGATCATTTCATAAAATGGCCTTCATTATTTAAAAGAATATACAGTATATAAATATATTCTCACCGAATGGAGATTTTGTCTTGTGGATCCACTGTGATCAGCGTTTTCACCAACAGGATCTTGACAATATTTTGAGGGGTTCCATCGTACACTGGAATCCGTGAAAATCCCTTCTTCACTATCTGAAAAAAATTGAATAATGTATGGAAAATATTCAGCGATTTTCATTTGCAACATTCCCAAAATTAAGCATCAAATTTCGAAAATTATCTCCACATTTTCCTCCAATTCAACGTTGAAGTTCAGCCACAGAAAAAAAAAAAAAAACAATTCAAATCGAATATCTTAGTTTCCCTCCGGAATAATCGTACCTTGTCGTAGGTTTTGAAATCCAAGACAGCGTCCAAACTCAGCACAAAGGCGTCTTCAAACTCCACCATGGCCACACCCACATTCTTCTCTTTCAAATTCAAAAGCCCTTCAATGACCATCACTTCATCCCGTGTCAAAGGCACGTCTGCATCAACTCCGCACTCGCCTTCACAGAAGGCATCGTTGTCCTGATCATCCGTGTCTTTGACTAATTTCTCTTTGCTGCCCAAGAGACTGGACGAATCCCGCTTTTTGCCGTTCCGGAATTTCTGAGGGCCGTGCAATGCCACCAAGGTCTGAAAAAATATGAAAGTTACTCGCACACGAAATTAACTTCAATTTTGGAAACGTTTTTGGAAGAATAACGAGCAAAAAAGTTGAATTCACACTGGAGACGATATTAAAGTCAAAACAGTGAGTCTAACTTCAAGGGGTCAGCAAAACAAAATTCGAGTTAGAAAGATTTTGAATAAGGGAAAAAAGCTTTTGTGTTTGGGGAAAGGAAAGAAGAATTACACAAAATTGCAATTGGGGATATTCTAGAGACCTTAGATGAGTTGACAGGATGCTGAACTAGGAGACAAATAATTCACCTGTTCAATTAGTCCTTCACTTAGTCTTTCTTTCAGAACACATCGAGTTGAATTTTCATCGCTTTTTTCATGCGTGTGTCCATGAAATATTAGTCAAAAAAAGAGCCGGAAAATTCGAGTTAGGAGGTTTTTAAGGCATTGTTTCTACAGGAATTCAGACCAGGACTTGAAAAAGATTCGAAAGTAGAAGGTATTTGAATTGGGGCGGTAAACGTTATCAAGATTCAACTTTATGTTCGATTTGCTTTTAAAAATTGGGATTCATACCAATTCAAGTCAATTGTTAGATCGAAGTGATCTGACTAACTTCATCAACTCAACACGAATTCCAGGACATTTACCAGATTCAACCCACTACTGTAGTCATGAAACAAAAAAATCGGATCACCCTCAATAACCGGATTTTTGCTAAGAACTTGATTCACAATCGAAAAAAAATTACCTTCAGCTCTTGACGCTTGTAAAATGTCTGATGATCCTTCCCAAGACAGCAATCAAGCACTTTCGAGATGGGGTAGGTTATCGGGAAGAAAACGGCGATGGTCAAGTAGATCAACCTGAATTGAAAAACAATAATAAATTCTCCCATTTTACGCAAATCCAAGGCAAAAAAAAATCCCAAAACTCACGGTGACATGCAGGACCCAATCGCTAGACCGTATTTCGTACACAGGGCTTGCGGTAAAATTCTGAGGAAAGAAAAACAAATGATCACTCAAATGATCACACAAATACACATTACACTTGAATCTCGATAACTCAAGCCTCTGCACGTCGACTTTATTCAAGTCCCTGTCTGAATTACCTTCGGAACAATTTATTTAAAACTTCCAAAACTCGAAGGCTTTCGACTTGAATTCGACTTGAAGAGGTTTGACTGAATCATGAAAAAAGTAAATACTCACTCTCCAAGGAAAAGCACAACTGTAACGGAAACCAACACGGCGACGATTTCATTGGTAATGCCGTTCAAAAATATCGGCATTGCTTCAACAGCGGCTGCATTTGCCAACACGAGCGACACTAGAACAAGATGATGATTCCGAACCAAAGGAAGAAGACGCTTCGCTCGTCGACGTTGTGTCTCTGTCGATCCGGATTCACTGACAACCTTCAATGTTAACGGATCCAAGCTCAGCAGTCCGACAGTCAAGCCAGCAAAAACACCTGGGGTTTACACATAGAACAGATTTGAGTACGCGGTACGAAGGGAAAAACAATCACGATTCAAAAACTCGCCGTTAGGGCTCTACAGCGAATCGATGGTAAAAATGTTTCATGGTTAATATACTGTAAATTTTAATACGGAATGAAATCGAAAGAAAATGTCAGTAGAACATGTCGAAAAGAAGTCCAACGATTGAGTTAAACTTTAATTAGGGTCTTCGGGACACAAAAAAGAATCAAGCTAATGAGAGATTTCCGCGCAAGTTGCGAGGAGGAAAGGAAATACTTTAACACTAATCAGATTTGAAGCAACTGATGCTACTTGGTGTCCAGGAAGACGTGGCAAGCATTAATATGCTTCGAAAATGACGGACATCCCGTCAAAAAGTTGAAAAGCCATCTTCTAACAGATGATAATGTACGTCCCTTGCACGAATTCTCCTTTCTCAAACATTGCCGGTTTTCGGAGGTTCGTTCCACTAGCACTAGAAATCCTCTCTACGACTTCAATTCACTTCGTTATACCATATTATTGAGCGCATATTGATGAAATAAAGAACAGTTCTGACGGAAAAGAGGTACAAATGCCGTCGTTCCTTCTATTTCCCCAAACCATGCACAAACTTGAACAAAACATAAATACGACACCAAAACACACAAGAATTCGATTAAATAACGAACAATTGATCGTGAATGCTACAACGCGCTGAATTTCAATCCATCATCACGATATGATAAATATTTCCGCATAAAGCATCAGCTCACCAGCACAGAGGGCCAAAACACAGTAGATCCCGATGTAGATCCAAAAGAACTCGGATCCCACTGGATACCGGGTGTTCTCCGAGTTCGTGAAGTGATACTCAGTTCCATTATCTAACGCGACACGCATACTACACTATGTAAAATAAAAAACCTACGCTAAAACTATTGAGGAAACACAACATTTATTCACATCAATTGAAACGGTAACGATCGGTCCACGGAGTTTATGTGATCACGATTTCACAGATCTTTACGGCGGCACACGGGCATTACTTCTACGACGCTTCGAAAGCGAAGATATAATTGGCACGTTGTTCAAGAGCATCTACCGATCAATAATTCACTGACCACCACCGTTTTCTTCTTGGGTAAATTGATGTGCTTTCCGCTGATTTCAGAGTATCGGTTTGACTAGCAATACCGCTAAAGAAAAACCGTATGAATGACTTCAGAGAGCACCTTACTGAACATCAAATGCAGGTGGCATTTATTAGTACCGTACATGTTTTTGGTACACTACTGTACAGTTGAATTGACGCCATCTATTGGAAAATTTATGTGTGCTATGTGAGTGCATGTCGCAAAATATCTGATTCAATGAATGAATAATTCATATCTGCTGGCCTTTTTTTGGAGCTTTTGGTAGAACAAAATGCATTTTATTCCAAGACCATGTGTATTTTTCCAGCAGAAAAACTGAATACAGTGATTTATGTGGCTCTTATTTTCCAGATCCAAAGAAATGGCGCTTCAAAATTTTCAAGGATTTTAAAGCAAATGCTTCAATCACTACATTCCTCCCAAGGATTTCAGATGCAGTAAGTGCCCCAGAGATGGAGCTGAAAACCACTGAATTGACTAGGATGTCCTCTCCTGTCAAATACAGGCCTATTTTGAGCAAAGAAAAATAAAATCAATCATCAATAACTTCATAAATATTTAATTTTAAAAGACCTGGAATTCCTGAATCTGCTCTCATTTTGGCAGATGCTTCCAGGCACATCCTCGCTCTGGTATTCTCCAATTTGGCACCACCACCTGCATTTCTGTTCAAGTAGAAGTTTGCAGCAGCACTGGTGCCATAGACTAGACAGTCCACATGGTCCTGTATAGAAAGAATATATTTTGAAAAATATGCCAAATCCAATCTTTCAATTTACTTTACCTTGAGATGAGGATAAATATCCAGAATCTTTTCCAGGATCTTCTGGCCAAATGCTTTCTTCAGTCCATCATAATCATCTCCTCTCTTCTTCACAGGCAAGTGCTGCCATGACTTGAACCAATCATTGTTGGCAAGGGCAAAAGCTTCCAAAGTTGCCTTTCCTGAGAAATTTATTTCAAATTTTAGAGGTGAACATTTTTTTTTATGTATATATAATTTAAAACCTGGATGTCTCTCCTCATAGGTTGGGTCTTTTATTGATGGAGATGTATACCCATAAAGCTGGATATCTGTGTCCAATGCTTCTTCCAGAGAAAGAGACAAATACTCTTTATAGACCTATATGGTACCATAATGAAAATTAAAATAAACAAGTGCCTGATATTAATAGTACAACTTATTACCTTCCCAACATCCCTGTTGCTGGAAAAAGCTCTGACCAGATGCCAAGGCAAATCATCAAGCTCTTTCCCCTTTTTGTCCAGCCCAATAAACAATTGGAAAATGACAGCAGGTGTGTTGAGGAAGGGCTTGGCATCCTTGTACCACTTGGATGACTCTCCCATGGCACTTGGTAGCAGATGTTTGAAAGTTATTTCAACACCTGTTGCACATTTCAAACTTTTCAAAAATATGAATATTTCACAGTATTTTCTGAATGCACTAACCGGCTGAAGAGATGATAATGGGTGCAAACACATCTACAGTGGTTGATCCCTTTTGCACTTTGACCCCAATGGCTCTTTGACCCTGCATGATGATCTGTGTAACCTTTGCTCTCACTAAAACCTCTGCTCCAGCATCCTGCAAATTTTTTGCAGCATAATATACCAGCTTTGATGTCCCACCTCTTGGATAATATGTTCCTGAAGAGAGAATACATGACCAGTTCAATATGTCACTATACTGAAAACAAAATATGATTGATCTAACCATTACAATAGGTATTTTGCAGCACAGTCCAGAAGGTGTAAGGGAATTCATCAGGACTGCAATTGACTTCCATGCCATAGGGGTCCATCACTATTGGCATATCAGGGTGAACTTTCTTGAGATGCTTTTTTCATTTAAAAAATTCATATTAAAAAAAAGTTGTCATTGAAAAGTTTTAGCAAAGTTTCCTCTCACCTTGAATTTATCTTCAGTGGAGAGTCTACTACGCTCTGGAAAACTTGTAAAGATGTCAAATATCTTGAGCTTGATCATGAGTAATGCCAGCCACTTGGGAAGAATCTTGACAATCAGGAAAGGCATGAATGCAGGAATACTCCACTTGACATCCTGGGCAACACTGTCATGTAATACAGATAAAAATTAAAATTGCAATTAACCATGTTTGGTAGGTTATGAACTCAAAAAGGAAAGAAAATGGCTGGAAGGGTGACTGACTAATCTTTTTAAATTCATGATAGAGACTGAAAGTGTCCATTGTAAATTACCTTTATGCAGTAGGAAAAGACTGACTAACTTGAATATTTGAAAAAGTATGTTAACCTTTTCAGAAATGTTTCTTGTCCAGGAAAGTATGTCAGCAGTTTTTGCACCCAGTCATCAACAGATTTAGAAGCAAATTTGTAGCTTCTGATTCCCTGTGGGTCCTTTGGTGTGCCAATCACAAATTCATCTGCAGTCCCTCCTGTTTTTGCAATTCTTGACAATAATATTTTTCATTAAATTTGTTTTTTCATAATTTCATCACTTACCACTTTTGAGGTATTTCAACTTTCCCCCAGCTACCTGCTCTAAGATGACCCCAAATAATTCATCTTCCCCATGGGCTATGGATATGTGATGTCCAGTGTCAAACTCATACCCATGCTCCACAAATGTATGCAGTGTTCCACCAACCTTTTGATTAACATTAGGCATATTCAATGTTTTTTATTTTCATTTAACTCCGGAATTAACTCACAGTATCATGCTGCTCCAACACCAGGACTTTCTTTCCAGCTTTGGCCAAAAAGTATGCAGAAGTCAAACCTGAGGGTCCACTGCCGATCACAATCACATCCCATTGCTGAGACACTCTTTCAGGCTTGAAGCCTGAACAAATCAGAATATCAACATGAAATTGTTGGTTTCATTTTTTTTTATTAAACATGTGGCACTTGACTCACTCCTTTTCAGGACCTCATCCTTCTGCTTCTCAGTAGGATAAGGCCCCTCTTCAGCATTGAATGCTGCTGTGGAGACCAGTGGACAGAAAATTGCAAGAAAAACTGCTTTCAACACTGGCTTTAATACCAAGTACACAAGGTATGCTACTGCAGTTATGCCTGCTAGCCATGTCCAGCTTCCAAGCAGCATGTCTCCACAAACTGTTGAGAGGTTTTTTTTGAAATAAAGACAACTAAACTGAAGCTACCATTGCAGTTTCCCTTTTTAGGCAGCAAGGGAAATTTTATATTCTTCACAGAAAAGATGCCATCTCACAATGACAAAGTCAATTCATGCTTGGAGAATTTTCAGGAAAGCAAATCCTGTTTTTTCCCCTACCTGAATAAAGGAATAATCTGAACTTCCAAACATTAACTTCATCGCACGCAAAAAATATGAAATAATTTGTATTTACTTAATAGTTGGATGTGTCAAAAATGTTCATAAAATGCACAGGTAATAACTAGTTCATAATCCTTTTACTTTTCCAGATCACTGAATGTTTTTCAGAAAGTTTTCTTCACATGCAATGGTAAGAAAAGTTCATGAATCAATTACATGGAGGTGTGAAATTATGAGATGGTGTCATGTATTTATTCCAAGGAAGAGTATTTTGATTCCAGCATACATATTGAAAGTCTGAAGTCAGGAATTGAATTAAACAGCAGATGTGTTGTATTCTACTTTCAAAATCATGTCATTTTAATACATCTTAATCCTTGTTGTGTTGGTTTGAAAATTAACACTTGCAATGTAAATATTTCCTCATGTTAAGTTATGAATAATGACAGCTGCTTCATTTCAAAATATTTGGATTGTAATAGGAGATTGATGATGCTTCTCCAAAATAGCTCTATCATGTGATATTGTACTAAAAATAAAAGAGTAACCATAGAATAAATTAGGCTTATTTCAGATTCCAGAAACTCCTTCCTTTAAAAAATACAACCAAAACTTATATGCACTTTTTAAAAATTTCAACTGCTTGTCTAAATGTTTGCTTCTACAGTATTCTTGTAAATTTAAAATTTCTCAAAGTCTCTGGCATTGGCTGCTGATTATATGCATGATTTATTTGTTGATACAGAATTTAACATATAGCACATCTCTACAAATACATCCATATTTATTTCAGATGAAGAGCTGCTAGCAGTCATATTGAATTTTGCTTTTTACGTCACTCTCCAGAGGTCAGAAAGGAATTTCATATTTCAAGCAAATGTGCAAACTCATGATGACCAAGTAATATTTCGGAGATTTCCATATCTGCAACAACAGATTTTGATTTGTCTAAAAAAAAGTAAATTCTAAATTATTTGAAGATAACAGCAAAATAGAAAAACATGTTTTATGTTTTTCCAGTTTGTCTTGAACCCTTCAAAAAAGTATCCAATTTGTTCCATCACAACATGGAGCATTTGTCCAACCTTCACATTAAATTATAGGGGTTCACTTTTTCTCCTGTTGTAATGAAAGGAATTAATTTAAAGCATAGGATAGCCCAGAAATTACATCACTGAAGAAACATTTGTGAACCTTTTCAGAAAGTCTCAGTTGATTCCCGATTTAATTTACATGCAATTATTTGTCAGTAAACTGAGGTCAGTCACAAGGATTTTATTTTGACATTCATTTTTTAAGAACAGAAACTGCTTCAAAAGTTCCATTTCAGAGTTTGTGTAATTGAATTCAGGTTAAGATAGAACATTTTAAATAGTAAAGAAACATAACTGATTCCACTTTGACAGAATACTTTACAGCACAACTTTTCCTTGCATGTGGTCCAATTATCCAATAAAATATAACTCTCTGTACAAAAACACAATAGTAAAAAAATATTTCTTTAATCACCATGTACTTTGGATTGAGTGACATGCTTCTATGACATGAAAAATAGAGCAAGGAATTTCAAATCTGTCATGAATTAACCAAGTACCTGCCCTGATTCAATGGATAAAATATTCAGTGAAGTTCCTGTTTTTAGTCTCAAGTATTTTATGAGATCCAATCCATTATTCCTTCAATTATCTTTATCATGATGAGGTTGTTGAATAATAATGAGGAGTTCTCAGTTTATTACCTTGGTTGTTGAGCACAATGAAGCCATTTTAGTCCAGCATCATAGAGCTGATCTATCTTTTCAATCTCAAGAATTGAAGCTTTTAGGGAGAGTATAAGTGGGACAATGCACAGGGTCATATTTTTGAACTTACAGAAAATTCCTTTTTTCAAAACAGCAAAAACACAATTTTTTGGATCTTTATGAAGCTGCTGGGCAGACAATTAAAATCCAGCTTTAAAAAGCTCTCTAACATACTTTTAGTGTTCTGACATGAAAAAATTCATTTGGTTTTGGAGGTTATAATCCTGGGCAGGAGAGAAACTTGGTAAAAATTAAAACAAAAAACATATGAGTAATTGTTGTTGAAATTTAAAAGTGAAAGGCTTAAACACATCAGGGGGTTTGGAGTCATTTGACTCTGATGGAACCATTTTATTCATTTTAGGCTTTGTTGCAACTTTCTAAGCGCTCTGGCTTAGAATTTGGCAGATTATATTTGGCAGATGACTGGCTTGTCAAATGGATTAAAAACATGGCAGAAGTTTGCCCTTGAAGGGCTGAAATTGAAGGTCTGTCAGACTTTTAGATCCTACCATTTTTACATTGTTGGACATGTGCCAGTGCTTCACTTGGTTTTGTAACTCTCTTAGATACATATGTAAGAAAGTTTTTGAAATTATCAATCTGTCTCCATTTGAAGAGAGGAAATTTAGGTTTGTTACATACACATCAGTTATTCCTTCAAAAGTTCCTTTTCTCTGGAATAACTGACTTGACAAGTCAACAGTGACACCATGAAAAATTCTGGAGAAACATTCTCTGCTTTTGGAAACCACAGAAGTATGTGTAAACTTAAGGAAAAATGTTTAACATTATAAAAAGCCAAATATTGAAGACATATGGATTATTAAAGATGCATGAAAATACAGACAATAAAGTCAGCAATCAAGCAAACTTTCAAGGGAATAAAGGCATATACAGTACAGTATTTCAATTGATGGTTGTTGGATTATTCCTTTAATTCTTGGAAGATATATACAGCATATGACTTGCATTATACCACTTATAACCTCCATAAAATTGTTTTGCATATTTTCCTAAACAAGAGATAGAACATCAGCAATGCTGTTTATCTTTTTTAAGCATTCAGTGAACTCAAAAATCTAGAGTTGTGCAGCATCAAGCTAGCTTTGCATTTTCCTTTATCTTTTGCATACTTAAACCATGACATTAAAATTCATTTGACGTCACTATCCTATCTTTGACCTACAATGAATTTCATTTCTTGCAAATTCCATCCTACTTTCAGGGGGAAACACAAGCAGGAGTAGCTGTTTATGGATATTGAACAACTTTGAATACAAACGTCATTGTGAGATTGCAAGGTTTTTATATATAATGTATAAATTATAGTTCCTTCCAACAAAAATAAATGGTAGCAATGTACAGGTAAGCTTCACAGATTTCTGGAAGGCATAAATAGTAGAAGGAAGAATGTTTCTTGGGTCAGAAGCTGAGCATAACTTGCAGGCTTAAAACGTTTTATCATACTTTGTGCACTTAGTAGTAAAGCACGTTTTGAAATCTGATGTGCTTCATACAATTTTTTTTGTCCACTGGTCTCCAGCACAGCATCATTAAAAGCTGAAAAAGGGCTTGATCATAGTGAAAAGCAAAAGGACCATTTCCTCACAAAAAAAAGTAAGTCAGGTGCCACATTTTGCACCACACAATAAGATGCATAATTTTTAGCTTGAAATTTATCTGCTCATATACTGTACATTGAAGATGAAAGGGGGTTTTTCCATAAATAACTGGGATATAATTGTGATTGGCAAAGACACTTGACTTATATTGTGCATATCATTTTGCCAAATCTAGTGTGAAAGTCCTTTTTTGAAGAAGCAGCAAACCAATTATCAATTAAGTACATTGTTTTTATTCATCAAAAGGTCAATGAACTTTGCATATATATATTTGTCAAGTATTGGCTTGATTTTGATACTTGACATCATATGTTCTTTAAAATGGCAAAGATGAATTATTTGTGTTCAACCCTCACAATATGTAAAATTTCCACATAAAGTTGAAATATCTTTAGAAGCCCTTGAGGGGATTGATGAAAAGCACATTAATCTAAGCATACCTATTGAAAACTGGCATGAACAGCAAGAACTGTGGATGAGTTTATGATTGACACATGAAACAATTTACTGTATAGAGTATCAGGAGCAACACATTTAAAAAATGGCTTTATTATATAAAAACTTGGACTCTAATTTAAATTAAGGACCACTAATTTCAATAGTTCAGAAAATGATGACAAATATTTGACATCCCATACTGGATATGTCTTTATACATCTATATATCTACATCTTTTGTATACATACATCTTTTTGTATGATGATGGGTTTTAGAATCTGAAAAACTATAGAATAGAAAATGAATTACAGTATCACTAAATGCCTTATAGAAAATGTGATTAGTTAATTACCCCATGAACCCTGTCTCTTTGAGCATATTGAGAGAGCCTTGCTGCTCAAGCACCAGAACTTTCTTACCAGATTTGGCAAAAAAATATTCAAAAGTCAAACCTGAAGTCCACTGCCCCATTCCAGTCCTGCAGAGTGCAGACACTCTTTTGGGTTTCAAGGTGTTACACAGATGAATATAATTTTTTCTCATATATTTCATTCATTTATTTATTTATTTCTTCATACAATCTGTCATCATACTAAAAAACTTAGCTTTCTTTGGTACTGTTTAAAACATAGCATTCAGCTTAATTTTTATGGAGAACATATTTCACCTTTGAGTCACGCTGTGGAGAATGGAGACCAATGGAGAGACAACTGCAAGGGAGTCAAATCCAGAAGAAATATAAGACTGATTCTGATTTTAAGGGAATTTATTTTTTATTCTGTAAATTTTCAATGTCTGTATTATGTAGTCAACCTTGTCAAGCAGGAAAAGTTGAGATTTATTAAATTATAATTTTGAGGCTCTAAAAATGATTCATTGCATGCAACATTTGAGTAGTTTTGCTGACAAAAGACTTTGAAACCTTTTGACATGGTGAATTTAGTATGGAAATTCAAGTTGTTCTTATAAAACTTGTCTAAAATGTCAATATATTTAATATTTGAATGTAAAAGTTTCTGAATACATGTATAAAGTTTTCTGTGATTTTCCTGACATAATGTGTGAAAACCATTCTACAATTTCAATCTTTTTTATGCTGGTTAGTTTGCCAGATAATGCTGCAAATATACTGCATTTTTTGAGCTCTTCTGACATCATTCTCAAGACATACATTTTCATCCTGAAAATGCAAAGGCATTCATATTGAATGAATTTAACTGCTCAGAGAGTTTTGAAATTTATTTGAGGATGTTCAACTTATCTGATTTCACATTGATGACACTTCAAATAAAAGATGAGGATGCCTGTCCTCAATTATTTGGAAACTTCAAAGGTTCTTGTTAATTTTGATTCAAATCAATGGCACTTACATACAATGACAGAAATTCACAGTCCAGTTGCATGCAGCTCAATATTTGGAAGTTTGGAGGCAGAATTTTTGAATGCCAGCAAAAGCCCAAGTCATTCTGTATATGAGGATTCGAGGTTTCTACTGGGAAACTGAATTGTATTCCCCTGAATTGAAAAACCAGCATATCCCATGAAGAGATAGCATATTTTCTTCCAGGGGAAATTTCTGTTGCACATCTCAAGGTGGCAGCTTTGAAAACAGATCTCACTCATCTTTCAGTTCCATCTTTTCACAGAAAGTTGAATCATGAAAGACATTTTGGCATTAAGAAGTATGTTACCTGATGGAAGATGGGCCATCATTGGTGTCTTGGCTGCTGTGTCATTACACATTGCTTACATGGTGCTAAAACCACTTTTGAAAACTGTGTATCTTGCCATCTTTTGCCCAATCATCTCAACAAAAACTTTTGAGGTTGATGTGAACCAGCCTTATCCAACAGACAAGGAAAAGGATGAAGTCTTGAATAGAAGTTGGTCAAATGCTCAAATTTTTCAACTTTTTTGGGGGAAAATGATTTTGCATTCTAATTTTTTTACTCAGGTTTCAAGCCTGAAAGGGTGCCTCAGAACCTGGATGTAATTGTGATTGGAAGTGGACCCTCAGGTTTGAATGCTGCACATTTATTGGCCAAGGCTGGGAAAAAGGTTCTGGTGTTGGAGCAACATGACACAGTGAGTATATAATACAAAATATGATCTTCATCTTAATATTTGAAGGGTTCATTTCATGTGTATTCACTTTTATTTTTAACAGGCTGGTGGATCCCTGCATACATTTGTTGATCATGGGTACGAGTTTGACTCAGGACATCACATCTCTATTGATGTTGGGAAAAATAGCATAGCTGGCCTCTGTCTGAAAGTACTTTTGGATGGAAAAGTAAAATTTTCTCCAACAAGTAAGTTTCATTCAACATTCACATCCATAGTAATAACACAAAAAATGTGATGCTTTTTGAAAATAGGGAAGTACAGAGATGAGATGGTGATTGGCTCACCAAGGAATCCCAAAGATGGAGTGAGAAGATACATTTTCCAGACTGAAACGGTGGATGAATGGAAACAATCCGTGCTGAAGTATTTTCCTGGGGAAGAAAAGTTCATCTCTGAGTGAGAGCATCAAATTTTGAATAATTGCTTATTAATATTCTCCACAAAATCAAGAATGACTTCAATAACTCAAGCTGTCATTTTTCAGCAGCGTAAAAAGCTGATTATTTCAATTTCTGCACAGATATTTCCAAATATACAGTCAAAATTGAGCATAACAGACTTTCCACACAACATACTATTTTGTTGTGTGAAAAGTCTGCTATGCTAATTCGTTTATCACAGTATCAGAATTTTAACTTTTTTACACTTGATTTTAAACCAACCAAAGTCTCTTATGCAGATTTAGTCCATTGCACATAAGGGAAAACTGCCTCCAGCAGAGGTGTTCTGTAGGGCAAAAATCCATTATGTGGGATGTCTGTTGACTGTATACAACTCAAGGATTTTGTCTGCAAAATTTGTGTTACCGTATTAAGAAAGCGGAAAAGGCATAAGTTTGACCCTCATTCTTTCAAAGGTTGGCCAGTGATATGAAATGGAGTGTTCCCACATTTCTGCCATTTCTGATAGTCAAGTTCCTTCCCAAATGGCTGGCATTGCTTCTGATCAAGCTGAGGTTCTTTGACATCTTGACAAATTATCCAAAATACAACAGCATCTCTACAAAAGAGAAGTTTCAGGTGAGTCAAAAATTATGTATATGAATGTGTTTTGAGTACAATAATAGATAATCTTTTCATAGAAATTGAGCCAAAGATATTCAGACTTGCCTCTAGTACTCAATCCTTACCCTTTGGAGATGAATGTTGCTGCAGATGAGTTCCCATACTCTCTTTGGCTTCTTACTCAGAAGTTATCACTTCAAGGTTGGTTGTCACTACAAAATTTTTGTACCATTATTTTCATTTATACTACAGTACAGTGTGTATTTTTTGTTTCTTCAGGCCCTTTTTACCCTGTGGGTGGTACATCAAAAATGGCTTATTATGCTGCCAAAAATGTGAGGGATGCTGGGGCAGAGATTCTAGTAAGAGCAAAAGTTGTCAAAATCATTACCTCAGGTCAAAAGGCTGTTGGAGTCACTGTGCAAAAAGGCTCAACCACTACAGATGTGTTTGCACCCATAATCATTTCCACAGCTGGTGAGCGTTATCAAAATCTTGAAATTTATTATACAATTTGGAAAAAACTTATTTGTGGCATGCAGGCATTGAAATCACCTTCAAACACTTACTGCCAAGAGCCATAACTGATTCTTCAGAGTGGTACAGAGAAGCTAAACCCTTTATGAACAAACCCACTGCCTACTTTCAGTTATTTGTTGGGTTGAACAAGACTGCAGAAGAACTTGAATTACCATGGCAACCCATCAGATGTTTCACCACAAACAAGGAATGTGGAGAGGTATACATAAACTGTCTATGATCATCACCTTATTTGCTTTTCTCTAACTATTACTTCTATTAACCATGAACAGGTCTTCAATGAATATCTGTCCCTATCTCTGGAAGAGGCAATGGAGGTGGACATTCCTTTAATGATTGTTTACTTCAGTTCTGCAAAGGATCCTACCTACAATCAGAGGCATCCAGGTTTTTTTGTGCATCTACAGAAATAAAGTGCACTCATGAGAATTTCTGAAAATTTTCAGGGAAGTCCACTTTTGAAATATTTGTGATTGCAAACAATGAGTGGTTCAACAAGTGGCAGCACTTACCTATAAAAAAGAGAGGTGATGAGTATGATGCACTGAAGAAAGCATTTGGTCAGAAGATATTGGATCAGGCCTTGGAATTGTTTCCT